AAAAGATGCTAACATTAGTCTGGGCACAGTGGCTAACACCTGTAATCCCACCACTTTGGGAGGCTGAGGTGGGAGGACCACTTGAGGCCAAGAGTTTGAGATCAACCTGGGCAACATAAAGAGACCCCATCCCCATCCCTACAAAAAAAAAAAAAAAAATGCTGAGTAGTCCCAGCTATTCAGGAGGCTGAGGCAGGAGGATTGCTTGAGCCCAGGATGTGGAACCTGCAATGAGCTACGATTGTGCTGCCCACTGTACACCATCCACCCTGGGTGACACAGTGAGACTCCCATCTCAATCAAAAAGAGAAAATTCAAAAAAAAAGGAGGATGCTAATACTAAGTTTAAAGTACTTATCCTCAAAGTACTTATTTGTTACAAAGGGAGAAAGAGTGTCTTTGTAGTAGAGAAATCTGGCAGATGACACCTTAGTCAAGGGGTCTAAATTAACATTATCGATAATGGGGCAAACTGAAATTATGTGTTACTTGATAGACTGAAATAAGAACACAGCATTACTTTTGTGATATTCCTGCCAAAGGTGCATAACCTGAATATAATTTATTGATTAAATTCACATGAGGAAACAGAAGATAAACCCAAACAGAGGGGCTGTTCTGCATCATTATAGGCATTATACCTTCAGAAATGTCAAGAACATGAATGTTAAAGAACAGCTTTAATATTGTTCCAGTTTGAGGAAGAATAAAGAGGTATGCCAACTAAATGCAATTCTTCATTAATAGGCATAATTGCATTATCTGTAAGAACAGTGATGGTGTTGGCAGTCAGAATTTTAAAGAGCCTACACAATCAATGGAGAACATGTCATGTAAGGGGATTTTCTGGTAAGTCCAAACAATTATTGAGACAATTGGGAAAATCTGAATAGATTTTTTTAGACCAGGTAGAGATAGTAATGTATGAGTGTTAATTTCCTGATCCTGATAGTTGTAATTATTTTAAGAATATTGTCTTTGTAGGACGTACACTAGAGTAATAAACTAGTCAGCAATTTACTATAAAGTGATTCAAGGAAAAAATTCTTTTTTTTCATTCTTGCAGCCTTATGTAAATTTAAAATTATTTCAGAGTAAAGACAGAAGTTAAGGACTGCCTAACAAATTATAGCTAATGCAATGGATATTGGCTTTTCTGTTAGCCTATTGACAGGAGAGTGAAACAACCAAAATTTTGGGGGGTTTTCAAAACACCTCTGCCCCCAACATGACTTATTCTCTCTGATTGTGTTCTCTATTGATTGTGTAGGCTCTTTAAAATTCTGATTGCTGACATCTTTGTTCCGTGTAATAAGCAGATTAAGCCCCTTGATTAACAAATACGGAGTGCCTAGCATGTCCTCTTCCTTTATTGCTACAGAAAGAATATACAAGACCAAATTCCTGATCTCAAAGACTTCATAGTAAAGTTGGAAGATAGGTATAATTTGGGAAAGAGTATGGAGGAAAAAAGTTAATTCCTGTTAGAAGCAAAGATATGGAGTCAGTAATGAACGTGGCCATATGTACTTAAGACTGAGGAGCTGACTAGAATGGAAGGTCTGTTGACTAGGTAGTCTGGAACCAATTTCTGGAAGGTCTTGAAAGTTAGATGAAGTTGAACTGCATGTGATAGACAATGGGAAGCTTTCCATTTTTTAATGGGAGAGTGACTTGAATGTGATACATTGAGGAAAATGAAGAAAAACATTGAAACGTAGGGTGAATTGAAGGGAAGAAAGTTCTGACAGCGGGGCAGATCAGCTGGAGGCTGTTGGATTTTAGTAGATGTCAGTTGAGAATCTGGTTAGGGTGAAGATAGCAGGGATGAAGAAGAATAAAGCCAGAGACACTTTGGAAGGAAGAAACACCTGAAGTTGGTGGTTGATTAAGTTGGGGATAAAACCAAAGTTCACAGTCATTTATCACTGTAAAATCTCTAGCCTTGGAAATTATAAGTAGGGTATTGGAAGGGAGGGCTTTCTGATGATAGGATAGAAGTGAATTTTTTTAGGCCGGGTGCAGTGGCTCATGCCTATAATCTAGCACTTTGGGAGGCTGAGGTGGTGGATTGCTTGAGCTCAGGAGTTCAAGACCAGCCTGGGCAACATGGCGGAACCCCATCTCTACTAAAATACAAACAATTGGCCGGGCTTGGTGGCGTGTGCCTGTGATCCCAGCTACTCAGGAGGCTGAGGCAGAAGAATTGCTAGAACCCAGGAGGCAGAAGTTGCAGTGAGTCATGATTGGGCCACTGCGCTCTCCAGCCTGGGCGATATAACGAGACTCCGTCTCAAACAAAAAAAAAAAGAGTGAATTTTTTAGGAGCGTCTGCTGCCATGGCAGTTTTGGAGATGTCCAAATGGACATTGCCTGTCTTATGTGTTACAAACATGAGATTATTAGTTCTAAGAGGAATTAGAGTTGGGTTAGGGGATTTTCACATTACAAACCAACACAAACTCTCTCTACAACCATCGAAAAGGGCTAACAATTTATATCTCTAAGGGTCAGAGAATAGTTTAGATTTCTGTTGTTGATGGGCTTAAAAAAACTTTATGTTCATAAAAAGGCTACTTCATTTCATTATACATCTGTTATGTTTTCACTATTTTGGCATGTAAGACCCTAGAGAAGAAAATATATTACTTTCTGTCACTGAAAGTTTAACATCCAAGAGGGATTTTTATGTGCAGAAAGAACTGGTTACAGTGACTTGAAATACAGATTAATATTCAGTTCTTTAATTTCAAATATAAAACATAATTTTTTCCTAATTCTTTAAATTCAGTTTTAAAATTCTATTAAACTATGCATCTAGTAAAATAATAATCTCCTTTGTTTTTACCGTCTTTGGATTAATTGAAGTTGAACTCTTCTGAAACAATTCCATTTACAAACATAGCCAAATTCTCTTAAATATTTTCAATTGTATTTATCCATTTTGTGTGTTCAATTTTATTTTGAAGTATTTATATGGTAAGTTTATGATTCTATTTATTTATTTATTTATTTATTTATTTTTTCTTTTTTTTGAGACGGAGTCTCGCTCTGTCGCCCAGGCTGGAGTGCAGTGGCCAGATCTCAGCTCACTGCAAGCTCTGCCTCCCGGGTTCACGCCATTCTCCTGCCTCAGCCTCCCAAGTAGCTGGGACTACAGGCGCCCGCCACCTCGCCCATCTTTTTAGTAGAGACGGGGTTTCACCGTATTAACCAGGATGGTCTCGATCTCCTGACCTCGTGATCCGCCCGTCTCGGCCTCCCAAAGTGCTGGGATTACAGGCTTGAGCCACCGCGCCCGGCCTAGTTTATGATTCTAAGAAGTAATTTTTTAAACCTGAAATCACAAATCTAAATCAATTATGCATTGTACCTAGAATCCTAAACCTAATTTTTTAAAACCTCTGTTAGCCAGATTATCTTATACATTACAAACTCTAACCAACAGAATGTATGGAATATACCAATGTTTTCAGAACTTTTAAAAGTTGACACATTCACTTATTTATACTCTGGGTTTAACTTCCTTTATCATATCTAAATTTAACTACATTTTTCTGGGATCTGAAAGACATTTTTAGGAGAAGCAAATTTAACAAGCTGCAGTTACTAGGTTGGCAATTCAATATAGTTATGTGGTTCCTTATCTGAGGGTTCACACTTCCAGGTGATTTTTCCTGAGCCATAGATGGACATATTTAGTTAAACATTTTGTGTCAGTAGAGGTCCCAAAGCCACTCACTTACCTTACTTTTTCTCTTGATTTGGGTATGTAAAGGATTGCATCTTCAGTAAGATTGCAACCAGTTTGCTTCGGCTCACTCCTTTGCTGCCTAATTGAATTTTGCATCTCTCAGATGACTTTTCAGTGTCTTTTTGCCTTTTGGCACGTAAAGACATTTTAAAGTCCTCACATTGTATTCTGAGTTTCTCTCATGTTCCAGTTCTCTATGCTTTATATCATGCCAATAATCTTTTAAATTTTGAGCAGTGGTATCTTGTGCAGATATATATGCATTAAAAGTACATGTATTCAACAATTACTTATGTAGTACCTCTTATGTGCAAGGCACTGTTTTAAACACCAGGATACAGCAGTGAACAGAGCAGATTGAGTTCCTCCCCTCATGAAATGTTTAGTTTTAGAGACTGGTAATAAGTATATAAACAAAGAGATATATTATGTTATAGGAGAACAAGTCTATAGAAGAAGAATTAAGCAGGGTAAAAACTAGAGACTGATAGGGCTTGCTATTTTAATTAGGCCTCTCTCAGGGAGTGATCTTTGAAGACAAATATAAATGAAATGAGGATACAGGCCAAGCAGTATTTAGGAGAAGAACATTTCAGGTAGAGGAATCTTGAAGTACAAAGGCCTTGAGGCACAAGCAGGCTTGACTGAATTGGCCTCCTAGGAAGGGAGCCACTGTGGCTGTAGTACAATGAGTGAAGGAGAAAAGACTGGCTTTTTCTCTAAGAATTATGAAACTTTGAGCAGCATGACCTATCTTAAAAGAATCAGTGTACTCTGCCTTGAACTGTGGAGAATAGACTTTTCATTTGCATAGGAGGGCACAACTGGAAGCAGGGAGGCTAGTAGGTGCTGTGTGGTAGTTGAGGTGAAAATATGATAAGGCTTGGACAAGGGTGGTGATGAGAACTAGTTGGATTCAGGGTATATTCTCAAGATAGAATCAACAGGCTCTGCTGAGGAGTCAAGGTTTCTGGCTTTCATAACTGGGGGAATAAAAGTGCCATTTACTGAGATGAGGGACATGGGGAGGAACAGTTTGGGGATGGGAGAAGTTAAGTGTTAGACCTGGTTAAGTTTGAGATGCTTATTTGATAGCTAAGTAGAGATGTTGAGTAAATAGTTGGATATGTGAATCTGGATTTCTGTGAAAGTTTGGAGCTTAAGTTAAAATTAGGGGTATGACTTATTTCTTATTTTCAGAAGAAACTCAACACCATAATTAATACAGAGTTAACTTTTATTACAGGAAAAACCATATGGCATAGTTGAAACGAAGGCCGGAATATTCCCTGTAAGTCTTAAAACTTCTGATTTTTCTTTTGTTTATTGTTTTTCTCTCTCCTTTTCCTCCCCTTCCAAGCAATTATTAGATTAAAATGTTCTTTCCTTCTCACTTTCAGTTTAAGTCCCTGTTTTGTGTATTCTTGTTAAAAAAAAAAAAAAAAAAAAGGAAGAAATAGCGTAAGGTAACAATTACAGTTCAAATGGGAAGTGAGCACATTTATTTTTAACCTGCCTGTAAAACGTGTTTTGTGACCTTGATTGTCCTAAAGGGAGTTGAAAGTACCAAAAGTTTTTCACTGTGTCCTGTTTCATGTTGGGTAAAGAGCTTAGGGCACAAGCCTAAGCAAACATCCATGCATGGTGACAGCAACTGAATTTCTGTTATTAATTCAAAACTCTCATGTCCTATGGCTTTGTACTTCATTTTCAAGATTTGACCTTAAGTTCTCCATCTGTGAATTTAATATCCACTAGTGAGTGCTTTAAATTTTATACTATGGGCTGGGCACAGTGGCTCACACCTATAATCCCAGCACTTTGGGAGTCCGAGGCGGGTGGATCATGAGGTCAAGAGATTGAGACCATCCTGGCTAACACGGTGAAACACTATCTCTACTAAAAATACAAAAAATTAGCTGGGCATGGTGGTGGGTGCCTGTAGTCCCAGCTGCTCGGGAGGCTGAGGCAGGAGAATGGTGTGAACCCGGGAGGCGGAGCTTATAGTGATCCGAGATCACGCCACTGCACTCCAGCCTGGGCGACAGAGCGAGACTCTGTCTCAAAAAAAAAAAAAAAAAATTTTTTTATACTATGAATGTGTGAGCTATAGTACTAATTTGAAATGAGTTATTTTAGCATTAAAAGATGACTCAGTAGTTGGTATTTTTACTAGCCGTTTGTGAGGTTATTATTTAGCATAGTAGAATACATACTATGTTCTTGTCTATTTCTAGTCACAGATGATGAATGAACTATGATAACTCAAAATTCCTTAATTTAAATAACAAAACTTAGTGTGATTCTTGCTTTAATCAAATGACTTAGTCACAGTAATCATTATCTTTTGCAACAAGGGAATTTTAGGAAGGGCCACCAAAACTGGCCAACTGTCCCAGTTGGAACGTTGCTTTAGAAAATAGTTGGGGGAGTGGCCGGGCACAGTGGCTCATGCCTGTAATCCCAGCACTTTGGGAGGCCGAGGTGGGTGAATCACGAGGTCAGGAATTCAAGACCAGCCTGGCCAACATGGTGAAACCCCATCTCTATTAAAAATACAAAAATTACCGTGCGTGGTGGCGGGCGTCTGTAATCACAGCTACTGGGGAGGCTGAGGCAGGAGAATTGCTTGAACCTGGAAGGTGGAAGTTGCAGTGTGCGGAGATTGTGCCACTACACTCCAGCCTGGGTCACAGAATGAGACTCTGTCTCAGGGGGAAAAAAAAAAAAAGAAGTAGGGGCCGGGCATGGTGGCTCACACCTATAATCCCAGCACTTTGAGAGGCAGAGACACGTGGGTCACCTGAGGTCAGGATTTTGAGACCGGTCTGGCCAACATGGTAAAACTCCATCTCTACTATTAATAAAAATACAAAAATTAGCTGGGCATGGTGGTGCATGCCTGTAATCCTAGCTACTGGGGAGGCTGAGGCACAAGAATCGCCTGAACCTGGGAGGCACAGGTTGCAGTGAGCCAAGATTGTGCCACTGCACTCCAGCCTGAGCAACAGAGCACCCTGCCTCAAAAAAAAAAAAAGGGGATTTCTCCTTTTGTTTTATTGTGTAACATTGATGTGTGTTATAGCCTAGATAGTCTCAAAATAGGAAATTATCTTGCTGGTTTTACCAGTTGGGCAATTTATATTTATTTAGTCTTCCATTTATTCCATTTAAATGTTAATTTATTTTGCCATTACTGTTTAAAGGAAAAGGAGAGCTCTATTCAGAAGACCGTATCAGGGATCCTGTAGCATTTCTCGTATTTCTGTATTTTTTGCCACTGTGGTTCTTTCCTGTTTCTGTGCCATGACCCCTTTGAGGAACTGAAGAATGCTAATTGTATGTATGTTTAGAATAGGACAAGTAATAACAAACTTCCAAATCCCAGTGGCTTAACAAAACAGAGGTTTATTTCTTGTTGACATCACAGAATACTGTGGATCAGGTGATCCTCCTCAATCTTATAGCTGTGCCTCTCGAATATGAGGTTCCAAGATCGTGATAGAGAGGGCAGGATGTCTCAGGGGATGATTTTTAGGGTCTAAGCTTACAAGTAGCTCACATCACTTCTGCTCAAATTCTGTTAGCTAAAACTCACTGTCATCTTCCCAAATATTATCTGTGTGCTCTTTGCTATTCCCCAGGCCCCTGTTCATGGAGTTTCTGCTACATTCTATATTTCTAGTCACCAAACAGCTCTTTGCTTCTTTCTTTACCCATGCATAACACACTTAGTCCCTCTCCTTAGGGAGAAATCCCCAAGTCCCATTCCATCACTGCACCCGGCCTCAAATCCATGATCTCCAGATGATGTACATAGTATGTCAGGTTTAGACACGACTTCTGTTGATCTGAGGATCAGTGAACTAAGAGAGGTTAACTATATCCTTGTCCCCCAACCACACCCATTGTTCAGTGGTATAATTTGGATAGCATAGTAGTCACTGATTCTTGGCAATTCTGAAATCTCACTCGTAACCCCTGTGTGTGAGAAATTACTTGAATGGGCACTGATTTTGTTTTCTTGAAAGAACACCTTTGTCCATAGTTCTTCCTGGTTCCTGGCTCTGTCCAGGGGGTTTGTTCTTTTCATTATCTACCTAGACCACATCTAAGTGGTATTGGGAAGCATGCCCTCCTTAGGTGCCGTATGGGCTTCAAAATCTGCCACCTGCTTGCAGGAGGTTGAATGCCAGAGGTGGTTTTAATTTCAGACATTCTGGCAGGATTTTGTAAACTATATGTTTGGTTTCTTTGTCCATCCATTTCCCTTAACATTTGGAAGCATGAAAAGAAAAATATTTGGTAGGCATCTAATGTGTTTACTTCTAGTCAGTTTCTCATGCCAGTATCTGTTTTTCCTAGACATAGTTACCAGCTTCTCTCATTTCTTTGTCCTTATGCATCTGCCTCTCTCACCTCATTGGCAGCTATGTGGAGGCCATCTGAGGCAGACTGGTTCAAAGGCTACCTTCATTTTAAACTGATCTTTGTTATAGTGCTGTGTCCCTCTGTTTGAATTTTATTGGGCTTCTGTTGCTTAGATCTTTTGTGTTAACTTACTGTTCAGGAATTCTGAAGTAGTCTGATTTTCCAATATCACAAGGTCCTGATTTTTTTTTTATTTTTAAGATAGAGGGTCCCACTCTTACCCAGCCTGGTTTTGAACTCTGGGCCTCAAGCATGCCTCCTGCCTTGGACTCTCAAAGTGCTGGGATTACAGGCATGAGCCACCATGACTGGCCCGAATTTTTAGATTCTATTAACTTTTTTTTTTTTGGTCAGGAACAGAAAGTCTCTAGCGTGGACCAAAGGTGTTCTCTCTTGCTCTCTATTTTTGTCTCCTCTCAAATCAGCCACTTTTTGCCTGAGCAAAAGTACATGCTTCTTAAAGTACATTCCCAAGGCAGCCAATAGGGTCCAAACATATACTATAAACTTTTTTTTCTAGCTACTACTTTTAGAACCTCAAGTTCATTAGGCAGTCTGCTTCCAAGTTATAGGACATATTTTGCTAAATAGTTTGCCACTGCCTTTTGTTTCCATTTTTATCTTTGCTACCAGACTGCTAAGCCAGTGCGCTATAGCTTGATTTTTATTACAGCAGCATTAGTGCCACTTCAAGGCACTGATTTCTGTTGGGATAATGCTAGCTATGAAAACAAATTGTTGCCCAAATGTATAATGGCTTAAACATAATGTATTTTTTCATTGGATTATAATCCTGAGCAGTACCAGTCAGGGAATGGCAGGAATTGGGGTGGGGATGGGGACAATTCTACTCTTCCCAGTCATTCAGGGACTAGCAGGCTAACAGAATCTGTTATCTTAAACACATGGCTGAAACTGAAATGGAATAATCTTAAAACTATACAGCTTGTCAGTGGAGGTCCCAAGATTCTTACCACTTGGTTCTGGCTTCAAAGCCCATGCCTTTTTGCCCACACACTATATCAAGAATTGAAAAGACACCTGGACCAGTTACCTAGCCAAAGTTTGTATTCTGTATTCAATATGTAAGCCAATCAGAAAACTGGTGATTGCTTAACACATTCAGTTGCTGGGGGTACATTACCTCCTTATCTGGAACTGCAGATGTTTCCTTGCAACTTCTTTCTGGGGCCTCCATTTATTGGGGCCATACAAAATAAAAGATTATCCCTTTATCCCTTAGAGAACACAATTTTCGTGCCCTTTTCGATTATTTCATTTCTGAGTGAAAATTTCCCTATTATTTCAGTGTACCTGAAGATTTTGAACACTGATTGTTCAGATTTAGACAGCTTCTACTTTGTCTAGGGTCCTTTTAAAGGGAATGCCAGAACTCAAGTACATTTTCCATGTGAGATGTGATAAACATGGAACAGAATAGAACTATCACCTCTGTAGACTTAAGATTTTTCTCCTAACTATCTTTGTGTTCCTAGGGTGATACAATTCTGGAGACTGGAGAAGTAATTCCACCGATGAAAGAATTTCCTGATCAACATCATTAAAGATTATGTAAAAACTTAAAAGGCTTATGAGCCTAAATTTGTTCCTATATTACCCTATTTACTGAATTTTCTGGAAAAGTAACTTTAATAAAGTTTAATCTCAGAAATTGTCATATTTCTTTTCCAGCATTGTACAATTTGAGACTCTTTGAGTAATTTAATAATAAGTAAAAAGTGGACATGCTAAAAAAAATATGAGAGACCACCTACTGTTTCTGGTCATTCTTGACTTGGAAAACAGGGTATGGAAAAGTATTCAGTTACGTACTAGTTTGTTTGTTTGTTTTTTCTTATACAATACTTTAATTTGGTATCAGGGTATGCAACAGTGAATTTTCGCAATAAACAAATACAAGAACAGAAATTCCATGCACTTTTGTTTTAAGGAAATCTTTCAGCTAGGCACGGTGGCTCACGCCTGTAATCCTAGCACTTTGGGAGGCCAAGGCGGGCAAGATCACGAGGTCAGGAGATCAAGACCATCCTGGCAAACACAGTGAAACCCCGTCTCTACTAAAAATACCAAAAAATTAGCCGGGCATGGTGGCGGGCACCTGTAGTCCCAGCTACTCGGGAGGCTGAGGCAGGAGAATGGTGTGAACCCAGAAGGCAGAGCTTGCAGTGAGCTGAGATAGAGCCACTGACTGCACTCCAGCCTGGGCGACAGAGCAAGACACTGTCCCTACCCTGTCCCTACCCACCCCCCCCCAAAAAAATAAAAAGGAATCTTTCCGAGTCATTTTTAAAGAATTTAGAAACTTCATTGAAAAGCTTATTTGCTGTTAATTTTGTCATGAGAATGTAAAATACTAAAATTTTCTAAGTTAAAAATTTGCATATTAGTGCTTGTTACAAAAGATAATGCAAAAATAAACTTGGGAACTTTGCATTATGAATTTTATTTTTAAATCTACATAAGCATGAGGGAAAGAACTGTATTTTCAAAGAATTAAATCCAGAGGAGTTACAAATTTTCATTCGTCCCAAAGATTTTGTCTGTATTTCTTCCTTAGCTGTCGTCTTGCAGACACCATTGAAGCATAGATGATGCAGCCCCAGTTGATTAAAACGATGGCAAGCAGCAACTAAACCAAAAACTGCAAAAGAGGTGTGAAATGTGCCTGATATTTCTGCAAATTTGCATACTAGTGCTTGTTATAAAGGATAATGCAAAAATAAACTTGGGAACTTTGCATTATGAATTTTACTTTTAAATCTACCTAAGCATGAGGGAAAGAACTATTTTCAGAGAAGTAAATCCAGAGGAGTTACAAATTTTCATTCGTCCCAAAGATTTTGTCTGGGTATTTCTTCCTTAGCTGTCGTCTTGCAGACACCATTGAAGCATAGATGATGCAGCCCCAGGAGATTAAAACGATGACAAGCAGCAACTAAACCAAAAACCAAAAGAGGTGTGAAATGTGCCTGGTATTTCCCCCCGCCGTCAGGTTACCGTGTGCCATTGCTAAGGTGGGAATTAAAGTAACAAAGTCGAATAAATGGGGTTCCAGTGGCGGGTACACCCAGCTGCCCTTACGTAAGAAGCGGAAGATCGTATCCTCCAGGAAGAGGCGGAGTCGAGGTGAGGGAGTGAAATGCTTAATTCAGGAATGGATTTTGGAGTTTCTGGGTGCTGAAGAAGTAGAGCCTTTCTGCCTGCAGGCCCAGTGAGTCGACACGGTGGGGGCCCGCGAGCCCCGGGACTTACCACAGAATAAATCCAGTCCAGCGTGCGACGACTCACTGGCTTCATGGTAAGGAGGCGGCAGCGGTTCGCGGGAGCTGGCGGGAGTTGCGGGCCTTACAGTAACCTCCCAGGCGGTGGCTGCCCGGCGGCAGCAGCCATCTTGTAGCCGGGCACGAGCGGCCGCCCACTCGCTTCGTGCAGAGGTGTCGCCGGCCTCTTCCGCCCGGAGTTGGTGGGGGGAGGGGGGGCGGGATCACGTGATCGGGGGCCTTGCCCGCCTTTTAGAGGGGAATAAACGAGAAAATGTTAAAAATTGCCTTTTTTTTTTCCCCCTTTTTTTGCCAACTAGAGAGATAGGAGATAGGCGTACCTCCACTGGTTTTCTTTATAGTTGCAATGCAGTATTAACGCAGGATGAGGTGCTGTCGTGTCCATTGAAAAGTTTATTTGAAAAACAATCCACGTTTTAAATATTACGTCGGGGTCTAAAGCTGGAAGAATTAATGCTTTCTCCCCCGGCCCCCCCACGCCTCTCCACATCTGATACCACACGATTTAGATGAACGTTCGCCTGTTCATCTTTGACGTAAAAATACCACCCACTCTTTTGTATGTGACAGATCGTTGTGGGAACCCCTGTAAATCGAGCCGTTCTTCACAAATGTATAGCATGATATATATCTCTAAGAAGAAATATGTGGGATGCGTTACTCGCCATAATGTACCAGTCAAGCAACAAGTGTTTTCTGAGCGTGTCTGAGGTTCTTGAACGGCCGCGCATGAGATACTGAGCCCCGAGCACGGCAGTTTGGCTGGCAAGCATACCAGGTTCAGCTCTAGATTGTTTGGGACGCTCACATTTGAGGCCTGAGGAGTAGAATCTGGCAACGGGCCGCTTTAGGCTCTAGACGTTCTTTATACCTCGCAGTTATCTTAAAAGAGTTTTAGTCTAGATTTCAGGGAGTGGGAAGGGGAAGAGCGGAGAAAAACGTGGTCTGTTTAGGGAAGAGTCCAGGCCCTGTTTTGTTAGGTTGTCCTGTTTCTCCCCAGCCTGGAGGGGATCCCTCTCTGAAGATTTTATAGGATACTGGTTGGGCTCTGGTTTTGGATCCCGTTGGACTCCCGGTGTTGCTTCCGGGAGGCGTACAACAGGAGGTGAGAGACTTCAACTCCGTGTAACAGTTCCCTTATCTAGACACTAGAGACAATTTCGTAAGTTCCCGCAGAGTTTGGTGAGGTTGAAACCACATCGAACTAGTTGTCGTGTTTTCCGGGTAAGTTAGGGGCGAACATTCAGTCAGTGTCCCCAGCGGCTGAGTACCAGTAACAAGATGGGGAGGGTCGCACTGCCGTCATCCCGGGTCTGGAGCGGCGGGGGAGGGGCCGCGTTTCGGCAGGCGCGCTGAGCCCCGCCCTCGGGGCCGGCGCCCATCTCCTGCGCATGCGTGGCGAAGGCGGGTGTTGTGTTTTGACGCGCCGGGAGCTGGTGGGTGGGTCTCACTCTCTGCCCTGCTTCCGAGCTGCCATTGGTGATGAGCGCTTTGCGTCACAGGGGTCGCAGCCGCCGCTGGGGTCTCCGCTGTCTCGCGAGGAGGGTGAAGCGCCCCCGCCTGCTCCCGCTTCGGAGGGTAGGCGGAGAAGTCGCCGGGTACGCCTTCGCGGATCCTGTCGTCACCGACCTAGCTTTCTGGGCTGCCGGGAGCTCGTGGCGAGCGCCCCAGCCAGGCCTGCGCCGGCATCCTCCGAGGTGAGTGAGATTCGGAACAATGGGACGTGGGGGTCGGAAGGGTCGGATGAGCTGACGCTCCCGCCTGGAGCGGCGCCTTGGGACCCGAGGGCTGCGGTCTTGGCCTGCGGGGCCGTCCGGGCCTCAGCGGGCCAGGGCCAGGGCCCCCGGGCGGCTTCTGCGCGCACCTGTGGATTGGTGCGGGCGGGCGAGGGTTGCGCTTCCCACAAGCGCTCCGGAGGGGCGCGAGCCTGCCGGTGTACTGGAAAGAGCTTGGTCTCAGGGAAAAACGAAAAAGCAATGAAACTGAATCGTGGCGTCACCCTTACAGGATATGTGACCTTGCCTAGGTCCCCTAAGCCCCTGAGCCTGTCTGTAAAATGGGAATAACAATATTTAAGTTCGTTGTAGTTATGTAATGCTCATGGTGCCTATCTTAGGTCTGTCTAGTGGCAGTTCTGAACCAAAGCAAACGACTATCACCGTGGCTTTTGGACTCGTCTGTGCTGTGTTAAACATTCTGAGCAGAAATTGCCCGTGACTTGTTCATGCATCCAGTTACTGCAGCTTTCCTCATGGGTTGCTGATTGTAGGCTGGAAGGGGGCAGTGCTGAGATGAGCCGCATAGTGATTTAAGAGGAAAACGGAGTAGACCTTTTGATAGGTAATTTTCAAGATTATTTAAGATAAATTAAGAAACAGCTGCCCGAGATTTTAGTAGTGGTGAGAACTTTCTGGGTTTTGTCCATGAAATGCAAAGAAAGCTATACAATCAGCTAAAATCAATCATGCTTGTCTGGAATGAGTGGTTTTAGAGGGGAACGGTTCCCAACCAATTCTTATTGCAGGAATTGGAATTCAATTTGATAGGATCTGGTCAGCAGATCGCATAACTTTTGTATCTTCTTTTGGAATTGATTAAAATGCATTTCAGAGAGGTACAGTGATTTCTTTAAGGTGGCAAGAGGTAGCGAACCTGTTTATTTTTAATATTTGGGTGATCTATTTCATCTACTCGTGAACGCTGTTTAGTCACTTTGCCTAGAAATATTAAGTATAATAATTATATTAAGTATGATGATTGTTTTGTTGTTACAGACTATCCTCTGTCTGGGCCCTTATAATCAGTTATGGGTGATGAGCTACCAAAATTCACTTCGTGTTCACGTAACATAGAGAACAGTGTTGAGGTCTTACTGTGCACCAAGCACTGTGCTAAGGGTTTTCATGAAATATGTTCCGTCACACAACCACCTTTTCAATTCCATTTTAGAACTGAGAAAACGTGAGATTTTGAGAAATAACTTCCTCCAGATCACACACCTAATAAGTGGTGGTAATTCTCGGCCTTGGCTCTGCGTCAGAATTAACATCACTCCTGCAAATGTAATCAGCAGATGATTAAATTTTATATACAGTGTATGCCATAGATGACTTTTGTAATACGTCTGACTTTAATTCCACAGAGCAGTTCTACTTCGTTTATATCATTGTGCAGTTTTTCAAATATCCAGTCTCCTGAAATGTAGATTCGAGCTTCCTGATTCTTTATCTCCCCCATCCATTTTCCCTAGATGTGTGTCCGTATTAATTATCTAAAATTTTCCTGAATTGTGACATGAAGGGTTCTTACCCTTATTAAAACCAGATTTGAGGATTTGGGAAAGGGAAGTTTTGGCTTAATCAGTTTGTACTAAAGATGGTGAACTTCATTTAGGATTTGAGAGACAGTTTAGAAAGTGCGACTGGAAGAACTGATTGTCTCCTGTGAGGAAATGAACAGTCCTAATTCCTAGAGTGCTAGGATGGAGAAACTTTTACACAGGCTTCTTACAGAACCTGAAGCACTGTGTTTTTCATCGGGTCTACCCGATGAAAATTTAAGAATTGCTACTTAAATTCAGAACTTCTCCTGGAAATCAACCACTCTTGGGTGTGTGAGGCAGAGTTTCGCTCTTACTGCCCAGGCTGGAGTGCAGTGGCACAATCTCGGCTCACTGCAACCTCTGCCTCCGGGTTCAAGCGATTCTCCTGCTTCAGCCTCCTGAGTAGCTGGGATTCCAGGCATGTGCCACCACGCCCGGCTAATTTTTGTATTTTTAGTAGAGACGGGGTTTCTCCATGTTGGTCAGGCTGGTCTCGAACTGCTGACCTCAGGTGATCCGCTGGCCTCGGCCTCCCAAAGTGTTGAGATTACAGGCGTGAGCCACCGCGCCCGGCCAGCAAATCAACGACTCTTAATCTGTATCTAGTCATCCCAGTTTTTATGCCTTAATTTGTATTTTTAAACAGCTTTGTTAAGATTACATTTCGGGCCAGTCACGGTGGCTCACGCCTGTAATCCCAGCACTTTGGGAGGCCGAGACGGGCGGATCACTAGGTCAGGAGATCGAGACCATCTTGGCTAACACCATGAAACCCCGTCTCTACTAAAAATACAAAAAAATTAGCCAGGCGTGGTGGCAGGTGCCTGTAATCCAGCTACTGGGGAGGCTGAGGCAGGAGAAGGGCGTGAACCCGGGCGGCGGAGCTTGCAGTGAGCCGAGATCGCACCACTGCCCTGCAGCCTGGGTGACAGAGCAAGACTCTGTCTCAAAAAAAATAAAAAATAAAAAAAAGCTTACATTCCATCCATAAAGTTCACCCGTTTAAAGTTTGTAAGTCAATTATTTTTAGTATATTTACAGAGTTGTACAACCATTACAATAATCTAATTGTAGAACATTTTCGTCATCCCAGAAATAAACCTCATTACTGCCCCAGCAGCAGCCACCAGCCTTATTTCCTCTCTATAGATTTGCCTATTCTGGACATTTCATATAAAAGGTATTACTATATGTGGGTTCTTGTGAATTTTTTTTCATTCATTTAGCATAATAAAAAGGTTCATCCATGTTACAACATGGTACCAGTACTTTGTTCCTTTTTATTGCCATAAAATTCCATTGTATGGATAGACCACATTTTATTAATCTGTTAATCAATTGATGGGTATTTGAGTTTCTCCTTTTGAGGTATTATGACCAAAGTTGCTGTGAATATTCATATACAGTTTTTTGTGTGGACAAGTTTTCATTTCCCTTGGGTATATCTAGGTGTGTAATTGCTGGGTCATAGTTCGACTTTATTTGCATTTTAAAAAACATTTTAGGCCGGGCGCGGTGGCTCAAGCCTGTAATCCCAGCACTTTGGGAGGCCGAGACGGGCGGATCACGAGGTCAGGAGATCGACACCATCCTGGCCGACACGGTGAAACCCCGTCTCTACTAAAAAATACAGAAAACTAGCCGGGCGAGGTGGCGGGCGCCTGTAGTCCCAGCTACTCGGGAGGCTGAGGCAGGAGAATGGCGTGAACCCGGGAGGCGGAGCTTGCAGTGAGCTGAGATCCGGCCACTGCACTCCAGCCTGGGCGGCAGAGCGAGACTCCGTCTCAAAAAAAAAAAAAAAAAAAAAATTTTAATTTAGTATTTAGTGATGATTTTGAAGAGCTAATTACTTATTTGATGATTTACATGCATTCCAATTGTTTGATGTTTCTTTTTATTTTTTAAAATAGAGACTGGATCTCGCTTTGTCGCCTAGGCTGTCTCAAATTCCTGGCCTCAAGTGTCTTCTGCCTTGGCTTTCCAAAGTGATAGGATTACAGGCGTGAGCTACCGTGCCCCGCCTCTTTGATGTTTCTGATGAAGACTGCTTGTTTGTTTATTTTGAAGCGGGGTCTCATTCTGTCGCCTAGGCTGGAGTGCAGTGGTGCAATTATGGCTCACTGCAGCTTGGACCTCCCAGGCTCAGTTAATCCTCCTGCCTCAGTCTCCTGAATAACTGGGACTACAGGTGTTCCCATCATGCCTGGCTAAGATTATTCTTTTCAGCTAATGATTCCTGTGTAGAAATATAAGAATGAGTTCTAATTTGTTTGTTTGTTTTTTTTAACCTATTGTGGAGGACATTACCAGTCATTCATTCACCTTTTACTGTCAAAGTGGTTAACAGGCTTATAAAACTAGAGAAGGGAAGGGTAAGGTTTCATTTTTTTTTTTAAATCATACTTTGTTGAGATTTTATTTTATTTGAACTTCAAGTTTACTACCTAATAATTCCCTTTAATACATTAATTTTCAGCTGTAATTTTTATGTGAAATGGAAGTGTTCAGAAAACACTAAAATTCTATTTCAAAGAACTAAGTGAAGATAACATGTATTAACTTGGAATTCACAGGTATTTTTTCCAAGTCCAGTAATCCCTTCATTATATAGAGGAGAAAACTAAAGTCCAGAGTAATGTGGTTTTCTTCACATTAACTAGAGCTCGTTCTAGGTGAAGC